AACAACACTTAATCATATCACCAACTGGCTGACACTCAAAGGCCATGTATGAAGTTCATGACTAAAGGATGTAGGAAGAACCATGCTCTTGATAGTAGTCACATATATGCAGTACAGTGGAACAGATTGCATATAATTTGGGGTTCTTCCATTCCTTGAGGTTCATTTTAGAACTATTCTGGATTTATGTGCTTAATGTACATTTTTTTTCTCCATGTGTGCTACCTGTGCAGAGGAAGGAGATCATCTGTACCAGGGGTTCTCAACCTTTTTCTCTCCGAGGCCCCGCATGACATACTATCAAAACTCCATGGCCCGGCGGGGGGGCCCTTTGGGGCAGGGGCCTAGGGCAAAGGCGTAGTTTGACTTCTATTTTGGGGGGGCTGGGGCCAGCGGGGCTCGAGCCACCTCCATATGGCGGGGTCCAGAGAGGGAGTGCCACCTCCACCCCGTGACTCAACTCAGAAGGCCACCCAGACTGTCTGGGTTGGGGGGAGGGCACGCAACCAAAAATTATAACTCAAAGGTGGGGAGCTTAGCTCAAAAGTTTGAAAACAGCTTAGGGTACAGGGAGGAGGTAGCTAGGGGCTGTGTGCGGGCAGGAGGGTAGCTCAGGGTGCAGGGAGGCAGGTAGCTAGAAGCTGTATGCAGGCATGGGGGTAGCACAGAGTGTAGGGAGAGGGGCATTAGGGGCTGTGTGCTGGGAGGATTCCCCTGCGGTCCCTGTTCCCAGAGGGGTCTGCCAGCCACGGAGCTGGGTCTCCCCACCTGGGGCGCTCTTACCAGCTGCATCTGCAGGAGCAAAGGGGGCTGGGAACTGAGGAGCAGCTTCAACCTGGGGCACCAGCAGGAGAGGAGGGGAACGCTGCCGCTGCCTGCTCCCTGGCACCAGCCAGAGCAGCAGCTGCCCCACACTGTCCGGCTCCAGCTTCCCGCGTTCAACCTGGCCAGGGGGCGGGGAGGTATGGAGCTGCCCCCAGACTGCCCTGCACTTGCGCTGCAGTTTGGGGGGGGGATGCCCTCCATGTCCCCAACTCTGTCCATGGGCTCAGGGCTTCTTCCCCACAGAGAGCACCAGGGCTTGGGGCTCTGAGATTCAGCCCCGCGGGGCCACTGGGGATTGAGGCTTCAGCCTCATCCCTCCCGGGATTAGCCCCATGGGGGAGACCGGGGATCGGGGCTTCAGCCCTGTGCCTCCCGGCTTCAGCCCCGTGCGGCGCCAGGGATCCAGGGTTCAGCCGCAAGGACCCGCAGCCCCTTTGAAAGGGCTTGCAGACCCCCAAGGGTTTGTGGACCCCCGGTTGAGAACCACTGCTCTGTACTATCTTCTTCCCCACTCATCACCATACTCTCTTTCTAGATATGCACCTTTCTAGTGTGCAGCAGGTGTTGTAGCTTGGGGCATTCTCAAGGTGGATCCATCTTGGTGCATACTAGACATTTTTCAGGGTATATTGGTATATTCTTTCTCCCCCCTCTCTTATTTAGTAATTTAATAGGGGCCATGTCATTCCTTCCATTTGAAGGCTTTCTCCCCCACACCCTCTCTGCCTCATTCCCCTTGTCCTGGCTGGGCCTGGCAGTGGGTGGGAGATTCCTCCCATTCACAGCCCCATCTCTCAGGGCAGCGGTTGGGGATCGGAGGAGGATGTGCCTCATGTAAAGGGTAATGGTGGAGGGGAATGGGGCAGCAGCGACCCCCAGCCCTGGGAAGGTCAGAGATCCCACATGTATGAACCAAGATCTGGGGGATCTTTACCCCCTGTGTGTAAGCTGAGATTTGGCCCTGCCCTTCTGTAGGGATGGTCTGAGCCCTTCTAGCTGCCCTGCATGTGTGAGCCAGGATACTAAAAGCCCAATGGAAGGGGAATGACAATGCCCACTGAGACGAATGGGAGCAATTCAAATGTCTCAGAGTTATTGTTTCAGGCTGTATCCATCTCCATCATGTGTTCTCATTTAGCTGAGAATAGCTCACCGAATGTTCCCTTCACACCTCTGTGAGCCTCTTGTACCTCAAATAGATGTGTACAGCCCTGTTCCGGACACTAGGCCCTGATCTGGACGAGAGACGATGCTCCACTCTCCTGTTCCTTCCTGCCTCTAGCTGGTAGAGGCCCTCCTCACAGCCCCAAGACCCCTCTAAATTTACCAGGGGCGGGTAGGGTCAAGTA